ACACTGGAAAACAGGCCAAGCTCCAACATCTAGAAACAAAGGTGTTGATGGCAGCAGCACAGCTGATATTTCTCTCCATCAACACCTTTGTTTCTAGATGTTGGAGCCCTGAGGACTTTAATTGAGGAAGCCTGGTCTACATTGTTGTAGTTTTGAACATTTCTTCAGCAATTTAACTTTCTTTAATAATTAATTTTCAATATTTGTGTTTCTGCAGCCCAACAGATGTTAAAGTCAATCAGCCCATAAACTGCTTGGTATTTACCAACAAGGATTGGACAATCATTTTAGGATTTAACCCTCATCCATCAACTCAGCTGCTCCACTAAATGTTGCTCCGTTCTTTAACTTTTAAAGGCGAAGCGGTTCTTTCATTGTGAAAAATATACAGTGAGTAGAGAGAAGCTACAACAAACAAATCAGGAAATATGATATAGAGACATTAAACTTAACAAAATATTAGTTAAACATCAAATAAATAAAGAAGTTTTAAAAATGTTTGAGGGAAACAGGAATATTTATAAGAATTTAGATAAGAGATTCTCTGGTCCACACTCCAGCACAGCAGATGGCGCTAATTCATCTTAGCGTTAGAGGCCGCCCGCCAGTAAAAAACAGAGAGAAGAAGAAGAAATAGTTGAGTTTTAAAATGAGGGGCGTTTTCCTCGCTGACGCAAACTTTACGTTTGCTTCCTTCGGCGGAGCGCCATTTTGGTTCCAGTCCCGGGATTACAGCATGCTCTCATCCAGCAGATAATAATCCGACTTTATTTTCCTCTCAACTGTTTCTCAGCGTTTCCACACAATAATGGGCCGAAAGAAGAAGAAGCAGATGAAGCCGTGGTGCTGGTATCCTTCCCCGCGCGGCGGCTAAACGCCGCTAGCTACATGTTAGCATGACAAAGGGAGGCCTGCGGGAGCTAATGCTAGCTAGGGTTAGCTTCTGTTAGCTACTTTAGCTTCTGTTAACTACCGTTAGCTAAAGAAGTGGTCTGAATCAGACAAAAGGTTTTAGTTTAATGTTTAAACATGTTTGATCAGAACGTCATAATGTAAGTGTTATTTCTTACTGATAATAATGTTTCATATAATATGAACGGAGCTAACATGTTAGCCATGGATTAGCATCCCGTTTTGAAGAGTATTTATGTAATGTGTTTGTCGGACTGTGACGTCATGTTGCTGGTTGACTGTGTGAAAGCAGGAAACTTCCTGAACTCTAACCTGAAGGTATTGCAATCGAGACTTTGACGATGAGAAAATCCTCATTCAGCATCAGAAAGCAAAACATTTCAAATGCCACATCTGCCACAAGAAGCTGTACACCGGCCCCGGCCTGGCCATCCACTGCATGCAGGTCTGCGCTCTGAAACATTACCGTAATACATGAAATATCAGGGCTTTGTCTGGGTTAAACAGGCTTTTATTGGTGTTTTCCAGGTACACAAGGAGACGATAGACAGTGTACCGAACGCCATTCCTGGAAGAACAGACATCGAGCTGGAAATCTATGGCATGGAGGGAATCCCAGACAAAGACATGCAGGAAAGGAGGCGGACATTAGAGCAGAAATCACAAGGTAACTTCTGGGGTTTAACACCAGAACTCCCAGATTCCCGCTCCTACAGGTCCCAGGGTCCCGCTCCTACGGGTCCCAGGATCGCGATCCTACAGGTCCCAGGATCCCGATCCTACAGGTCCCAGGATCCCGATCCTACAGGTCCCAGGATCGCGATCCTACAGGTCCCAGGATCCCGATCCCAGAGCTCCCACTGGGTGTCAGTTTGACGGTGACATCTTTCCCAATCAAATGCATGAGTAGTTATGATGTCATCAACTGAAATGGTCCCAGATATAAACTCATTGTGGATATAAAGACCCTAAAACAGGTCTAATATATATATTTAAGGTCACTGATGCGTCTGCGTTGATCATTTTCTGCCTCGCCGTCAGAATCTGAGCCTCTTCCTCTTCAAATCACTATCATCAATATTTGGAAGCTTTTCTAAAGCCTGTTTCTCTGGTAGATTTTCTCCTGAAAGACATTTGTTCGTATTAGCCGAAGAGTTCTAGGTGGAATGATGGTTGCTAGGCAACAGTAAGAACATCAATCAACTGTGGGAAAAATTTACAACGCAACTAATAGAGCCGTCAGAGGAAAAATTTACCAAATTTTTTGTTTTTATTTTATTAAACAAAAACTCAAGAAGCTGAAGGGAAGAGAAACGGAATAATTCAGTTAACATGAGCAACAGTCTGATTAATGAAAATCACGGTTTCAGCCGGTCATTAAATTATTAATGAAGGTCTTATTGGCATTACAACTCATTGAATGTGATTATCGTTTATAAAACAATTTCATCAGATATATTGCGATATGTTTAGACGAAGTGCTTCGGGTTGATCGTAAATCCGTTTGTTCGGAAAAGAAGCTCGAGGCGGAGAAAAGGCTGGAGAATCGGAAAATGGAAATTTCAACTAGTGATGCTCAGATCCGACGTTTTCATCGGTTTCGGTGACAATTGATTCTATATAGGGGCCGATCTATTCATTCTAACTCTATGCTATGCTCTGCTGTCATGCGGCAGCCCAACAACACAATACGGTCGTTAACTGTAACTCCTTAATGAAACGCCTCCACAAGTTTCATAACAAGGAACCTGCTGAGATTATCGGACTCTGCAAACAAAAAGGAAGCAGCAAAGGAAACGAGGGATATTTTTCCATGTATGTGTGTGTGTGTGAAGGGGGGGTCGGGGTCATGGGTACTTGTTGGCATTAAAATAATTTCTAATGGCATTAAAAAGCATTATTTTAGAGTTGCTCATTCCTGTATAAACCCTGATGAAGTCCTTTCCCTTTAAAACCTCAGAGTGAATGAAGCAGCTGAAGTTTTCTTAATCCTAATCTGATTACAGGGAGTTGGATATAAACTGGCAGCATTTTCCTCACTGAGTTGCTGATGGTTTTATTCTCCCGCCGCTGCTAACGGCACAGCAGCATTCAGGTTTTAGTCATCGCTGTTTTCGTTTTGCTTTCAGAGAGTCAGAAGAAGAAGTCCAACCAGGATGACTCCGATGACGATGATGATGACGATGAAGCCGGTCCGTCTGTGCAGCAGGTAGCTGCTGTGCAGCCCCAGGCAGGCTATGTGGCCCCCATGACCCAGCCTGGAATCCCACCCGTGGCCGGAGCGCCGGGAATGCCTCATGCAGGATATCAAGGTGAGGCATTCCCAGAGAGCTGCTTCCTCCTTTAGTCTCTTTAGTTGATCTGGAGTCCTTTAAGAGGCCAACAGGTTCAAGCTTTTCATTAGTCTGTATTTTTATTTAGCTGATTTTTATTCTATTTTAGTTTCTTTTTACTATTTTTTTAGCTAGTTTTGATTGTTTTTATTTTTTTTAAAAGCTTCAGTTAATCTTTGATGTAATTTAACTTGAATACTGGAAGCAGGAAGAGTTAAAATAATAAACAGAAATTAAACCCAGATGGAGACAAACTGCTGCAGCAACACGGATCTTTGCTGCCACTTGCTGGAAAAACGCTGCAACTTAAAATAGTTTATTTTCATTCTTTCTCGAAACTATTACCCTCTAGGTTTGTTTGTCTGTTTATTTATTTCTTTTTATTTTAGTTTTAACGATGACCTTGAACCCTGCAAACGTCTTCCTGGATTAAATGAATGTAATCTGTTAAAATCCTCCAGTTTTCTGCTTCTGTCTCAACAATCACTTAGAATCATAATTTTCCTTCATCTTAATCCGTTTACAGGATCAAATTGAAGTTAAATCCAAATAACAGGAAGCGGTGATAAAATGTAAATGAATGAGAAATGAATCATTATAGAATTGTTTTAAGATGAAAAATGTTTGTGGTTCCAGGAATGCCTCCCATGATGCCAGGCGTTCCTCCCATGATGCACGGCATGCCCCCCGCCATGCCTGGGATGCCCCCGGCGTAAGTATGACCTCATCGTTGGCCTTACAGGTCTGATCTACATCAACCTGAACATATAACCATAGCCCCCCCCTCCCTGTTTACAGCATGATGCCGATGGGAGGGATGATGCCTCCTATGATGCCGGGGATGCCTGCCATTCCTCCAGGTGGGTTCCTCCCCTTCTCCAACTGAAGCTGAGAGCTTTTCCACTTGAACCCAGTTTTAAACATTTAGCTGTGATTTAAAGGTTGTTGTTTTTATGAGTGGATCATCTAAATCAGTTCTCCTCCTAACTAATCATTCTGGTGATCATGCTAACGTAGGGATGGTGTTCTGTCAGACCAGCATAATCGATCCCTGTTTATCCCTTTAGTTCTGTACAAAGAATAAACTGTAAACTACCTCAGAAGGCGTGTTTCCCTTTAGTCATGTACAAAAGAAGCCATTTAATTACTCACTTTCTGGTGTGTTTTGAAACATATGGCGATTTGACCTTAAATAGTTATTTTTGGTACATGACTAAAGGGAAACACGCCCATAGAGGTCAGAGTTAATTTTCCCTACAAATCTAAAGGGATAAACGCTAATCTGATGCTGGTCTGATGAGGTATGCTGATCTGACAGAACAGCCGCCTATCGCCACTCACCGCCGCTGGTTAGGCTGACATGGTGGTAAAATAGCAAATCTTCTGTTAGAATGTTAGTTTGTTTGAGCAGCTGGTGGGGGGGAGTGGCTGCCTAATGGTTAGGGCATACAGCTTAGAGAGGTTGTAGGTTCCAGCCCCACTCCCACAGACCGCCACTCTGCGTCCCTGAGCCAGACCCTTAACCCCCCACTGCTCCCCGGGTGCCGCACCATGGTAGCCCACTGCTCCCCGGGTGCCGCACCATGGTAGCCCACTGCTCCCCGGGTGCCGCACCATGGTAGCCCACTGCTCCCTAAGGGGAGGGGTTAGATGCAGAGAGGGGATTTCGTTGCTCTGTACTGGTGACGGTGGAATGACAATAAAAGCTGGAAAATAAAGCGACTTCCAAACAGTTAACCCTGCGAGAGCGTGCACGAGTCCATTTCTCCTCGTGCACGCTCTCGCAGGTGTTTAATAGGCGTCCCTCTCAGGAGCGGGTACGGGGTTTTGCATGTGCATTTTTTTAAGTGAATTGATCTACTGAAGGCGTTAAAAACGTGCCTGTTTATTTCTTCTGAATGTGGAAGGATGACGTTTTGTCTTCGCCTTAAAGACGAGGAGGATGGAAACATCCCCCTGCTTCCAGTGCTAACGGCTTTTAGCTCATTTCTGAGCTAAAAGCCGTTAGCGCTGTAGCTACCATATCTGCGCTGGTCCTGCTTCCTGCCAGTGACGTTACGCTACATGATTGGCTGAACGTTGCCACATGATGTAGAACATCATGGTTGCCCAGACAACGATAACATCACTCAGCGTGCGGAGTGGAGAGCGTCTGTAGCGTTAGCGCGTCCAATGACTGAAGTTTCACCTGATCGATAACTAAACTGGAATAAATCTGTTTCTGCTGAACAAAGTAACGGTTAGACGCTGATATAAAGAGCTGGGTAGCGCTGTGGCTAGCTGTAGCTAACAGGTTAGCTCGCTCAGTTAGCCATATTTAGCTACACTACTTTTAACTTTGTGTTAACAACAACCGTTTGGTTCCTACAGTAGATTAACTGTTTTTACTAAAATCTCTACGGAAGTCATTTTTAAGATGTTCCATTTTTCCTCCTCAGATCTTAATAAGAATAAAATAAGTTGAAACTTTTAGTGTCTCCGTGTTAAATAGCAGAGTCTCTTTCCTTCCAAACTCTCAATGATCGTTTTCTACTTTCAGCTGCTTTAGATCATCAATAAAATGTTAAATAATATCAAATATAGGGAATAATTAGGGAATAATATGTTGAGACTCCAGAAGAGAAACGGGAGCGATCCTGTTTGTAGAGTGGAGTCGCTGTATGATGACGTCATAAGAAGGGGCGGAGCCCTGAGTAGATCTGGTACCTACAGCAGAATAAATGCTGCTATGGGTGGAAACTACCGGTTAATAGTTTATTTTATTTTTATCCAGATGTTTTTCTTTGGAAAAAGGTTTTATTGTTCAAGTCTTTCTCAGGAAGATGGAGGCAAAGCTTTGGACCTGAGCTGTGATGCTTTGTGTTTCAGGAATCCCGCCTCACATGGCTCCAAGGCCGGGGATGCCCCACATGGCTCCGGCCCCCACGGCAGGCCCCATGCCCAGCCGACCCGTAGCGGCGCCGGCGGTTCAGCCGGCCGTCACTAAGCCCCTCTTCCCCAGCGCGGCGCAGGTCAGTCGGCCTTTTTTCCTCCGTCATCCTCACCTTATTACCTTATTAACACCTTTCGGGGTTGAATGTTGGTTGATGGAGATCTTTTCCAAGCCAATCCTGTGGTTTTCCTTTCCACCACGCTGCAGATGGGCGCTAACAGCAGCGCCGCAGGCGTTTCCTCTCCGCCTGCAGACCATCAGTCTGCCTCTTCCCAGCCTCCCTTTGCTAACGTGTCCCAAGTACGCTCAGACGTGCTCTGCAGCAGCTGCATGTTGCATTACAGCTTTGCCCGTTACGTGTTGATCAGGCTGTTTACCTACAGCGTTTACCTGGAAGGCTCCTTCTACCTGCAGCTGTGAGCTTTTAAAGCTGCATGTGCTTCAACATGGAGTTAGACGCCCCTCAGCAGCATGAGCTATAAACCCAAACCATTGATTTTATTCTCATGTGGCTGTAGATGAAGTGAAGCTTTGGTTCCAGAACATTAAAGTTAGCGGTGAAGCTAAAGGGTTAGCGTTGTCAGAATGGCCTCCTGGGTGTTTTATTTCCTCTGGTTGTTCCAGAAGTAGACCGACCTTCTCATCAGGGACTGTTTCTGCATGTTAGGCCGATCAGAAAGCATCAGATGTTCTTCTCAGATCCACTGATTTGTTTGGTTTGGTGTTTCAGGCCCAGCAGAGTCCGTCTGGAGCGGCAGCGTCAAACTCGCTCAGCACGGCCGCCTCCTCAGAACCTCCCAAAGCCACTTTCCCCGCCTACACCCAGCCCTCTGTCTCTTCTTCCACTTCTTCTTCTTCTAATCCCTCTAGCAGCACTGTGGCTAAACCCCCCGCCACAGTGACCAGTAAGCCCGCCACCCTCACCACCACGAGTGCAACCAGTAAGTTGATCCACCCTGATGAGGATATCTCGCTGGTAAGTCGCTTCAGCTTTCTGTTTTGCTCTTTTCCACAGTAAGTAATGTCTGGCTTATATAGAGATGTTTATTAGAGGAGCAGGAATGTTAATCTATAAGGAAGCTTTTCTAAACCGTCGTTAAATAATCGAAGCGGTGATTAAATTAACCCTTTATGGGGCGCTCAGTGAAAACACACATTACAGCCAATGGTGTTTAAATCCAGGAAAATTCAGAAAATATGGATATTTTACTGGCAAAAATGAAGGTCGATGTAATAAAAAGGCCAAAATGGCCGAATATGTTAATAAAAATAACTAAAGTGCTTCTAGAAGAAATTCATTAAAAACACGGAGTGAATGAAACACATTTTATTTGGTCCAATATAACCCTAGAGGCATTAATGCTGATACTTTCAGTTTATAAACCTAAATATAATTGTTAACAAGGCTTATTTACTTTTTAATTGACTTTTTATCCTTTTTAACTTTTGTTTTTCACCTTAATTTCCAGAAGATATCGTTCAGATCTAATTGGTCAGAATCAGGTGTGATCTTTGCTGAATGGCTGGATATAGATCTAGTGCTTCTAGAGCTCAGTGAGGGACGGGGGGGTTAATGGTGGGGCTGATTGAGGCCCCGCCCACATTGCTGCGTGTCTGTGTGCTGAGAGCGGCGTGCTGCGGCTCCTGCAGGCTGAACCTGGCTGTTTTTCTGTATCCAGGAGGAGATGCGGGCTCAGCTGCCCCGTTACCAGCGTCTCATACCCAGGGCAGGCCAGGCCCACGCTGCTGCCGCTCCTCCGGCTGTGGGCGGCATCATGCCCCCCCAGCAGGGTCTGCCGCCGCAGCAGCCGGGCATGAGGCATCCCATGCATGGTAGCCATCTTTGCTGTTTGAAGTGGTAAGATGGAGGCTCCGTTTTGGGCGGTGGCTAACGGCGCTGTGGTTTCCCCTGCAGGTCAGTACGGCGCTCCTCCTCAGGGCATGCCCGGCTACATGCCAGGAGGGATGCCTCCATATGGGCAAGGCCCTCCTATGGTGCCCCCTTACCAAGGAGGCCCGCCCATGGGTATGAGACCGCCCGTCATGTCCCCGGCTGGGCGCTACTGAAGAAGCCAAGCGTCCGCCACATTAGGTTTGAGGTTAACACCTTTCTCTCATCCTTTTTCAAACCTAGCTGCTAATGGAAGAGCAGTAAAGCCGGCAGTGGTGGCGAAGACAAACGGTGTGTTTAAAAAGATTAGAGAAACCAAGCGACCCGCATGGACATTTTATCCTAACATGTTTATTAGGAAACAACCAAACGCCATCCATGTCTGACGGCTTTGATCACATGTGAGGAGATGTTCTTTCCCATAGGTTTCACTCAGGTTCATTAAGGTGTAAAAATGATTTGTTTTTCTTTTGAAGCTGCTGGAGTTTCATGAACATACCACCCCCCCTCTTTAAAAAGGCAAGTTCCTCTGATACCTTTGATTCTTCTTCTTGCTGCAGTAGACAGACGGAGACCCTCACAGCATGCACAGGTGCTGTTGGACATTCGTCCCCAACCGTGGTTGGTGAGGGTCTCGTTGATTGAAGCTGATTCCTGCAGAGTAATGTTAAAACTCATCAGCTTTATTCCTTTTTTCATGCTTGTATGCGTCCTTTGTAATGTTTTATCAATCTGTTGTAATAAAATCCATCTTGAAATCTCTGGCTGGTTTGTCCTGACGTACGCTGAGGTGAGTCTGAGGTTTGTTCCATTTCTGATCAGATTAATTCAGAAAATAACCAAAAGTTTCCGTTCTTGACTTGTTGATTAATTTGTTTCTGCTCCATTTTTACCTCCCAGTGTGTGAAATAGGTAACCTGACTCCTCCAGATGGATTAGCTCCGCATTTCCATCTGGAAACCTTCCGTTGAAGTAATTTTGGGAAGGGGCGAAAATACTGGCCAGCTGATTGGCCTATGTTGGTGATAGACGGGCCAAATAAACCAATCAGATCAACGAAGCATATGACGTACTAACAGAGCGACGACGAAGAGGAGCCAATTGATAGATCAAACTCTTGCTGAAACCAGTCGGGAGAAGAGCAAAAACATCTTTTCCTCTGAGAAAAGCCTCCAGAGCAGTGTTTTGCTCTTCTTTCACTGAAGAAATACTCTGTAATTCCCATAAAACTTGCTCGATAGCCACGCTAACGCTAGTTTCATCGGCTGAAGCCGCCATGTTCTTTAGACTGAACTGTCGCGCTTCTCGTTGCGTCACACCTCAACGCTGATTGGACGTTTAACGGCGAGTCTCCAGACTGATCCGTGAGTGAAAGCTTGCGGGATCAGAATGGTCTCACCAGGCTATGAAATAGGAGCCTCTGCCTTCCTAATGTCCTCCATTAACGCTGCCTTTGAATGTGCTTCATCTTTAGCGTGATTTTAATCTTTTTTCTTTTGAAAGATGGCCGAAGGTTAGCCTTAGGTTAAGTTTAGTGATGAGGTTGCATGAGGCGGCGCTGCGGTGCGGCGGCCATGATGCAGGTCTGCATTAAAGGCAATGGAGGCCTCTTGACCTCCAGAGGTCTGCTGGTAGGTCGTCCATTAGATAACGACACGCTGCCCTGGATGAACATCAGAAATAAAAGTTAACATCATGGTTGATCTTTGCTGCGGCGCCGTTATCGCTGGGTGGGTTTGAACATCATCTGCGTGCCGCTGAGTTTATTTAAACATCCTTCAGAAGAGAGAGGGAGGGTTTAGGAAACATGACTGACAGCTCTCCCTCTGCCCGCTTCTCCCTGCTCTGTATGTGTTTCTGTCTGTAGCTTTTCAGCCTTTAAACCAATCAGCTGCCATGACAGGTCCGTTAAATGCTGTAAGTACCTGCTGTTCATTCTACTTTCATCAACCATGATCAGGATAAAGGCGTCTAGATTTCCTCTGAATGCTCAGAAACGCGGCGTCCTGCTGAGCAGCCAGGAAGCTGAGGACGGTTCTCTGCTGATGCCAAACATGGTTATTCAGGTTTATCAGCTCATACAAACTCCACATTAGGGTGATGACTTTTTTACCTCATATCCCTGTATCAGAATCCTTAATTAAAGATGAATTAAAATCTTACTTTGAACGTGCTTTGACTTAAAAAAAAAAAAAAAAAACTCGCGCATAAAATGATTCATTTTTAATCATCAATTATTTTGGCCAGATTTAAAGTAGTAGGGAAGTCATTTAAACGTCAGATCATTCTGGCTTAAACATCTATAGAAATGTTCTCTTTATTAGATGAAATTGTCTCAAAATTTAGAAAAGTTCTACTTTAAAAACAAATCCTGTCTTAAAATCAGTTTTTTCCGTTATCTTCTGCAGGCCAGTTAGTTCTACATCAGCCTGAACACCTAAATTCAGCCAATCATATATCAGCGGTCATCTGTCAATCAAATGTTTTCAGTCATAGCATCTTGATTCAT